CAAACCCTATGAGCCCAAGAGACTTACGCCTTCTCCCATAACGACGGCACCCTGCAAAGAGCGCCCCCTCCGGGAACTCGCTTCGTTGAAGGAGGTTTCTGAAACAGGAATTCCGGGGGCGGTGGGCTCCAGACTGGGACTCCCTTTCGAAAGATCTCGCGAAGAAGTTTCGGAGCTCTTGCAAAGAGATCAGAAAGTCAGAAAGGGATGCCGAGAGTAGCACGACCGCCCTCTCTAGACGGGTCAGGCTACCGGCAAATCCGTTGAAGGCCACGAGGGTTCTGGGGATGTCCTCGCGAGGACAAAGCGGTCCGGTAGCCTTGGGCCCGAATTAGAAGAAGGCTCCGACGCCGCGATCCCCCCCCAAGGGGAGGGGACCCTGGCCGGCAGTTACGGGCGAAGCTGAAGCGAAGGCGCCGAATTTCAGCGTACACTTCCTTTGTGTGTCGTTACTTCGTTCCTTGCTTCCACCACTCCAGAAGGCCCTGCAACGCGAACACCCTCACTGAACCTGAAAGCATCTTTAGCGCAGCCCCGTGCCCAAAGCTTGTGTGACGCAGCGGACGGAGCAGAAAAGGTGGCCGCGGAAGTGAGAGGAGTGGTCATTCGAAGATGTGTGGTGCGCTTGACCCTCACGTGCGACGTCGGTTTTCCTACTGGTCCTGGATGGCTCTCTGAAACACCTGCAGGCTAAGTACATGGCTGTAGACCCCCTAACGTGAGCACCACTAAGAAGGGTGCCAGTTGCAGGGTGCAGCGCAGGGAGGGAGGATCCCATCCGCAAATCCTTCGGAAGAGGATGATGACCCAGGATGTCCCCGAAGCTTCGGCTTTGCAGTTCGCTTTGAGGGGCCTCGGTCTAAAGTCTCTCGAGCCTGTCTATCCCAAAAACCTGTGCCAAAAAGCCTTCGGGTGCCGCGAAATCTGCGGTTCACAGCAGCTCCCGGGTGGGACTCCACTTCGCAGCTTGAGCTGCCGTTTGGCCCCCTGCGCTTGGTTTATCTTTCGTGGTTGCTTTCGTAAAGCAGACGGAACATCCCGGCCCTCGTCAGTGGCCCTAGACCCAAAACCCTGGACTACGAAGTCATGGTAGCATCAGCACCTTAAGTTTCCCTCCCACGGGCAACGAGCCTGAGACTTTCAAGTGTGGGATGGGGCGTTCCGGCACAAGTTTTCTGGCCCAGCAGGCTTCGTCATATGGGTTAGTTTTCAAAGTTAGGGTCTCCGTTTTAGGGGTCCTTTTTGTTGCAAGGGGGCCGTACTACATTGGGGATCGTAAAAGGGACCCTAATTTAGAGAACTACCCATATCAAGACCAGGCTTGCCGAGGCCCCGTCGTTCTTCCTTCATGGAATTTCAGTCGGTAGGATAGCGTACAGGAGCAGCCTGAAGAAGTAGCATTTTCAGAACCCTGACGGTACCTCATCATCTGCTTCTTATGATTAATGCGTATTAGTTTATTATTCCTAATTTTTGTTGGTGTTTTCATGGATATATGTCCATAGCATAAGAAGCAGCTGTCTTGGCATATTTGGGGCCGAGGTTCGGGGCCGGCTTCCTTTTGTGGAATGGGCTCTGCGCTTCGGAGAGGGAGCCGCTCGCCGGCAAGCTCCGGCACAGTGCATGATCTGTTTGCTTTCTGTAGTTCCGGACGTTCCATTTTTGGATCTTCCAGAGCTCCTGATTTGATCTGCCTGTCTGCGGGTTTTGCGTTGAGGCTTCTGGAGTTTTTTTGGGGGGATTTCGGGGGTTCAGGGCTCCGTAGGCAGGTTGCAGTGGCTCTACAGGCTCTTCTCTCCCCCTCTCTGACAAAGCTCTCTGTAAAAGGTGGCCAAGGAGCTGAGGCCCTGAGTCCCAGAGCCTCAGGCCCCTTTGACTTGGGAGATGCCCCAAGGCCCAAGCCGACAGCGCCGAGCCGTCGCTTCTTTCCAGCTCCAAGCTCTGCCTGCCGCAGCCCGGAAGCCCCGAAAGGCCCTCAGATCCTGAACCACGGAAACTTCACGTCGTGCAAGGGAGGACTCGTCTGTGTTCATCTAATCTCATCTAGGTTCCACTTCTTGCCGGCAACCTCCCAGTCGCAGATGGAAGAAGTGAGCACCCCCGCAAGCTGGATCCGAGGCCTCTATGAGGTGGCGTCTCGCACAACCCCGCAGAGGGCCCTTCCCGGTGCGGCTCCAGGTCCAGGGCCGTGGTTTGTTGCCCTTGGACCTGCATGAAAGTCCAGGTCTGCTTCTTGTGAGAACCGGAACGGAGAAGCCTCAGAGGGCTCTTCTCATGTTTGGAGCTTCGCAGCGATGTACACGGCTGTTGAGAGGCGCAAAACGACGAACCCGACACAGCCTTCGGCCGTCCGTCACCCGCCTTCCGAGCTCCGCGGCACACCGCCAACATGCCCCAGCAGCCCGAAGCAAAACTTCTCAAAGACCTGACCGAAGTCCCTGGCGGCTGGCCCCTGGCGACCGTCATCGACGCCTTCCTCGACTTGGCTGCTTATTGGCCAAATCATCCGAATGCTAGCGCGGCGACCCGAGCTCGCGAGGCGGTGAGCCGCCGGCTGGCGGATTTGTGGGCCTCGCAGCCGGCGGAGGCGGAGGCCTGGCTCCAGCGATGCCGGGAGCTCTACGCAAAAGAGCTCGCAGGTAAGGAGACGAGGCCGGAGGAGCTCTGCGAGGCGCTGCTCCGGCACGGCGCGGCCGAGTGGGGGAAGTACGAGTGCGGCTTCCGCTTTTCCGAGGCCGGGCTCCTGCGCGGAGAGCCGCTCCCGTCAGCGGAGCGGGAGTACTGGGCGGCTGAGTACCTGCAGAGGCCCCACACCCGCGACCGCTGCCGGGAGCTCGCGGAGCGGCTCGTGGCGGCCGAGAGCCAGGAGACGGCGCGGAAGCGGCAGAAGCTCGAGGAGGAGACCGCCAAGCGCCGGCGCCTCGAAGCGGAGCTCCAGAAGTCGCAGGAGGAGGGCCGAGATCTGCGCAATCGCCTGGTTGCGGTGGAGGCAGAGGTGTCCGGCAAGGACGAGGAGCTCCAAGCTGCACAGAACGAGAGCGCCAAGTGCAAGGAGCGGTGCGAAGAGCTCGCAGCTCGCGCAACAGGTGCGGAGGCAGCCGTGGCGGAGATGCGGCAGGAGCTCGGGCAGTTGCAGGAGGAGCACAGCCAGTGCCAAGAACGCTGTGAGGAGCTCCTGACTCGGTTGGAGGCAGAAGCAGCTGTGCATGCAACGACCAAAGAGCGTCTCTCACAGGCCGCATCCGATGCGGCCGAAAGGAGGGTGGAGGTGGAGCGACTGCAAGAGGAGGGTCGAGGCTACCAGGAGAGCTGCCAGCAGGCAGAGGTGGCCCGCTTGGCGTCGGCACCAGAGCCGGGAAGCAAAGCCGAGCTGCAGCTCGAGAAGGAAGTGTTGCAAGACCGCTGCGAGCAGCTTCGGCAGCAGCTTACCAAAGCAGAGGCTGACAGATCGGCAATGCTTGGTCAGCTTTTAGATCTGCGGGAAGAGAAGGGCATGCATAAGGAGCGCATTCGTGAGCTGGAGAAGCAACTGCTTCAGGCGAAGAAGTCCCATCATCTCATCTCCGGTCACACACCGCATTGCGAAGCTCCTGTCGACGAAGCCTCCAACAGCCAGGAACCAGATCTTGCCGAGCGGCTGGGGTATAGCTTCGTGGATGACGACGGCACAGCCTCTTCGGTCTTGAGCCACTCCTCGTGGTTCTCAGTGAAGCCGGACTCCGTGAAACCACAGTGCTTCATGGTCGATGCCATCTTCAAGACGCGCAGCTTCGGGGCGGACTTCTTCTTAATGGGGCGAGACCTCAAGAAAGGGTCGCAGGTGGTGGCCGGAGATGACGCATCTATCCTGGAGGTGGCCAAGACACCGGAGATCTGCGATGCCAGCGAGGTCGTGGAGTTGCAGGCGGGCACTGCAACTTTGCGGGTGACTCCGGACCACTTGGTGCAGGTCGCCGATGCAAAGGTGAAAGAGAGCCTCTACCTTGCAGCTGGCAAGCTGAAGGCGGGCGACCTGGTCATGCTCGACTCCGGCGAGGTCGCGGCCCTCAGCAGCGTCATGCTTCGGCGTGAGGCCTGTCAGGTGCTGAAGATCGTCTTTGAGCCCTACCTTCCCGTGGCCGTCTTCTCTCGCCCCACCTGCATCCTCAGCTTGGGCCACAAGAAGAAGCCGCCCATCCGTCGTGGCGGAAGGAGCCAGGGAGGCCCGGGTCCCTCAGATGCTTGCATGGATGGCAGAGCCTCCATCCCGATCACGGCGGGCGAGTACATGGACTAGGCTTGTATGACGTGTATAGATGGAGCCCACATGTGTCTGACTTGTTGAGTGGGCCAACCCATGATTGCGGATTTTTGCGAATTCACGGACTCCGGCGCTGTGTGGTCAAGGAGGTCAGCGCACGGCTGCCTCGGCAGCCTGTGCCTTATCCTCCTTGGCTTG